TTCTGGCCTAAATTTTGCCTATTCGCAGATGAATGGAAAATAATATAACTACAGATTGGAGCATGAATTCAAAATGTAAAGTTAAACTGACAAGGAAAGACAACCTATGATAAGAGCACTGGAAAAAATGCATACCGTTCATTGATCTTGTCCCTCCGCATTTTCTCGCGGCAGGCTTTGGATCCCTGCTTAACAGTCTGCTCATCACGATCTCTGATACAATGAATCACATTATTGCCTTCGAAATAAAAAATTAACGACAATTTGTTCAAAGGTTAATTGCACATATACCACCTATAATCTTGATGTTTTGAACTTACTACCCCCATAGTTTCATTGTTGCAGATATATGTCAGGTTGAATAATTTTTACTCTTTTACCCTTGGGATAAACTCACGCATTTCACCCATGGACAATTTCTTCCGAATTTTCACTCAGGTTGTTAAAAAAATTACCCGGGGATCTACCTGCAACAATTAATCTGCAGGAGTGCAGGGATAGTAAGTTCAAAACAACGGTACTTCAGGTGGTCAATGGGCATTTAACCCTCAGTTCAATGTCAAAATAATAGAAAAGTGTTGTCACACTCAACAACAATCACATATGGAAAGCAAATTTGATATTTGATTGGAAATCAGAAATAAATGGAATGAAGTTCCTATAATTCCCTTCACAAGAATGTTTCTATAATTACCTTCACAGAGTAAATAATTGAATCAACCTACACCTAAAGCAAACCTCCTGTTTAAATAGTTACAACAAAGTGAAAAATGCTGAAAATTAGCACAATACATTTGAAGCAACCAAAGCTAAGGTTTGGTACAAATGAATGACAGCTCCAGCTTAATTGTAAATTTTCACATATCTCCTAGTTCCTTGGCTTATCTTCTTGACCTTAGTACAAAGAAAAAAAATTTAGCTAAAATATTTGAAACGCCAAGCATCGTGCAAAGCAGTGACACTGCCTATTAAATACAGCCTTAACTCGATCCTTTAGTAAACCAACAGAGTTTTTGGGCAAAATTATGCAATATTTTCAGAGTAAGTATATTGTTTACAGGGTGACATGCAAACAATACCTTTTCCGGGTACCATTTGCTTGGGTACTAATGTTGGCAATAGAAGAATCAAATTCTGCACCAGGACTGCAAGTAAAACAACAATACAAAGATGTGTTATGACTTCCAAATATCTGCTGAGAAGAACAAACTACTATAACAAATTTCGCAGATTCACAAGGAATGCTTTATCAGTTTTTCGACATGATCTTTTAGATTCTTTTTCAATTGATCATCTGTTTGGAACCCAGTGTTCCTGTTTTGTCTCACCTTCCAATATGTTGGAATAAAATACAAGTGTAAATATAATGCAGCAATGTGGAAAATTAACACAAAATGAACTTTCCAAGAGCTACAGGTAGATTTCTTTCTTATTTGTAATAATTTTATTAGGTATAAAATGTTTTCCTGGCACTTAATTAATCACCAAATAGAATAAAAAAAATGGAATAAAGTTCAAGAGCTACAATATTAATAGTTACAGCCATACTACAGTCCACTTCCAAATGAAATGGCAACGCAAAGAGAACACTGAAAAATAACACAGAGTGGAAGGGGAATCCTGACTGACAAGAAACATATAAAAGAAGCAAAAATTGAAAAAAAAAACAAAAGGTACAAGAATACAATCTACATTCATCCAGATGAATGAATAGCATAATTTACAAAACTATTTCAAAAGATAAATTCAGCAACGTCAATACTATCTGTACTATTATATTAAAAACTTAGTGGGGTGTCAAAAAGTTTGAATGCCATTTTACTTCCCAGTCGAAATGTGAGAGGTATATGGGTAATTTTCTCTTCCTTTCTTTTCTTTTCTAGAACATTCTAAAGTATGAGATGAGTAGATAGTTAAAGCTTACTAATTAAAAACTAGTGGGTAACAAAACGTTTGAATGACATTTTACATCCCAATGGAAATGTGAGGGGTATATAGGTAATTTTCTCTTCCTTTCTTTTCTTTTCTCTTTTTTTCTCCAAGAACATTCTAACGTGAGTATATAATTAGAGCTTACTAATTAAATATCTATCACAATTCCTGTTGTAAGAGATATAAATATAATAGGTTCGTTTCTAAAATAAATTATTAGATATGAATGAATATAAATACAATAACTAGAATTTCCATATGATTGAAATATTATCAGAAGGCAAAATAAATCTATATATGCTGGTCATAAATAATTAAATACGATAATTTGAAGATAAAATATGAAACATACTCTTCTTATTAACATTACTTAAAGTGCTCTTAGGATTATATTTTGAAAATAATCCACCAAATTATGGTGTGGCCGATTTTCTTCTATTAAAATCACATTACCAATCAAAGTGAATTTATGTTATACCCACTTTCAAATAACGTAACACAAAATAACTCATCTCCAATGAAAAAAAAACCATAAAAATATCTTATGTGACTCGATGAAACTTTGCTATCCCTTTTATATAAAATTTAGGATGATTAAGTTTTCGCATTTGGTGCATGTGCATTTGCAAGTGCAATAATGCTAGTAATTACTAAATTAAACTCTTCATAGAACTTGAAAAGGACATAGTGAATGACTTAATGCATTAGTGTGTATTGATAACAATTCTCCGCTTATAATAGAGTATGGCATAAGCATTATTCTTACGAATATAACAATTTCAATCAAATGAAAGGTTTACATAAACCAATCCACAGCAAAAGCACAATTTTTTACTCAACCTCTAGGCATGCAAAATCTAGAGCTGCTTTTTAACACATTTCAAGCTTATAACTTATTCAAGCCAATTCTTCTGACTATGATTCTAACCCCAGGATCAAAACCATATTCAAACACCAAACTGAATTTGCTTCGATTTGATGAAAGATCAATACATCACATAGACAGTAGTTCAGCATTAAAACTTCAAAAGGAAAAGAAAATACGACGAGGAATGGAAAGTTTGAACCTTGGGGAATCGTTCAAGTAGAAATCGATGGATTGGGCGTCCTCCATGATCCGCGCATAATAATCAAGGTCAAGCTCGCCATCTTGGACCAAATCCATCTAGTCCAGATTAGGTTAAGAGAAAATTAAAATAAAATAAACCCTAGAAATTAATAGAAAATTTGGGAGAGATTTCGAATTGGGAATCTCATAGAATCGGAGGGAACGAACGAGTGAGCGAAAAGGAAATAAGAGAGAGTGAGAGAGAGAAGGGATTTAAATATGAGAGAGAACAGAGGGATTTAATTAAGAAATTAAGAAATAGAATAAAGTCAAAAAGTACATAGAAAAGACAAATAACCCCAACCGTCCTTTCCTAGCCTTGGAACATGTGCTTTCCGAAGATTTTTGTTGGAATCTGGAAATGTGATTCATGGGAGTAAATGCCGCTGTCATTATCTATCTACAGTCACTTCCAAGGTGAAAAATAGCGTTTTTGTAAAGTACCTGCAAAAACCAGTACTTTTTGCAAGGAAAAAACCTGACGTGCACAAAATATCTATATCGAATCGAAATATCCGTATCTCGATCTTACTGAACTCTATATCGAATATGATATAAAATCTATGTATAATAGGATATGATTACGGACGTGGTTACACAAGAAAATATGAAGATTTGTATTCAAGATATCTGAATTTATGTTGAGCATGCAATTATAACTTTTTTAATATCTAAATTAATAGATTTGAGACTAATTTTAATGATCAAGAGATCTAGTTTTAATGTTTAAGTTAATGGATTTGAGACTAGTTTTGATGATCAAGAGATCTAATTTTAGATTTGCAGATGGAACACATTAATGAACCCCTTGTATCATAGGAAATATATTTTTTTTCCTCAATTTTATCTATATCTGCGTGCATATTCTGTATCTATATCAGATCTTAGCGGATATAGATATGACATTTGTTTATAGAGACGTATTTGTATCTGTGTTCCTAACTGATAAGCTAATATGGGTATGGTAAGTACCATATTGGAATTGTATCCTTGCCCACCATGTGAAGATCAGAGTCATAAAACAAATGTTCCAATGTTTAGGGAAACTATTAGTCGGCATTTTACTCATGTGTTGCACGCTATGATACGTCTACACGATATTTTGATTAAGAAACCCGAGCGAGTGCCAATTGACTCAACAGATGCGAGGTGGAAATGGTTTAAGGTAATCTATAATATAAGTAGCATTTGTATTTATCAGTTTTTATAAGTAATCTAACACATTAAATTTTCCCTAATGTCTAGAATTGTCTTGGAGCTTTAGATGAGACTTACATAAGGGTGAGGGCAGCCGTGGAGGAAAAATCTAGGTATCGAACACAAAAGGGTGAAATTGCTACAAATGTTTCGGGTGTATGTTCTCAAGACATGCAGTTCATATAGGTACTGTTCGGCAAAAGGTTAAGTAAGAGGTTAAGAAGACTTAACCTCTTTTTAACCCGTCAAGCACAAAAAATCTATACAATGGTTAAAGTGAGTTAACCCTCCATAATTTGCCAAACATAAAAAATATAGAAGAGTTAAGCTAACCCCTCTAGATGGATTAAAATGAGTTAACCCCTCAAAATAAAGGGTTTACTAATACTCCTATTTAGAAGGATTAAGAGTTAACTATTTTAATTATAAAGAAAGTAGTCAAAATTCTTGTTATTCCCAAATACTAAAATTGATCGCAATGGCTAAAATAAAAATTATATAATTAGTTAATAATTTAGTCTTTCGGATTATCAAGTAGGTTAACTATGTTAATTCTTCTCCTTAATCCCTCTTCCTTAACCCTTTACCAAATGAGGTCATATATATTACCCGGTTGGGAAGGGTCAGCTACCAATAGTAGAGTCCTTCGGGAAGCAATGACTAGAAGAAATGGGTAAAAAGTCCCATGTGATAAGTTACTTATAATTTATACTTTATTTGAGTTTATTAATCATCACCTCCCCTAGTATTTAATTAAATACAATTTTGACATGTCTAATCGTAGGTTACTATTATCTAGTTGATGCTGGATACACAAATTGTGAAGGTTTTCTTGCCCTATACAAAGGTCAACGATACTACTTGAACGAATGGAGAGACAGACACCAATCTACAACTATGCGGGAGTTTTTCAACATGAAACATGCATCGGCTAGGAATGTTATTGAGAGATGTTTTGGATTGTTTAAATTAAGATGGGGATCTTACGCAATCCTTCATTTTACCCTATAAAGACCTAAAATAGAATAATCATGGCATGCTATGTTCTACATAATTACATAAGGAGAGAAATGGAGATTGATCCATTTGAAGAGAGTCTTGATGTTATTGAGGAAACAACTCAAATGGCTAATAATGGTTCAATCACCATAATTGAAACTACAACAGCTTGGACTTCATGTCGAGATAACCTCACAAATTTGAGGTATAACCAGTGGATAGGGCAAGAAGAGTAACTTATCAGAGGATATCATTGATGACGTGGCATTAGTACTATTTTATTAGTTAATATTCAAGTAAATATTATCATGGTGTTTTTAAATTGTTTGACATTTATTTTAATTAGAATTAACATTATTATGCTTTTTTTTGTTACTGGCCTCATTTTAAAGTCATCTTTAGTATACATGACTCTCATAAATCATTTGGGAATAAGAACTACTATGAATTGATATTTTTGTATACAAATATCTGCAAACATGAAAAAAGGTCAAATTCTATTCACAAGTTATAAGTTCATTATACTTGCTACAAACCAAAAGATATGCTTACTTTCATTAATCATCAAAGCAAGACTTATTTAAAAACTATTGTGATGATGTAAATTTAAAAATCATTATATGGTTTATAAACTATTCAGGAATGGATCATGAAGACCAACGATGACCTGGAAAGAATAAGTGAACATGGACGATTGAGGAAGATCAGAAGTTGGTTGATGCATTGTTAGAGTTACACCAAACAGAAAAGTACAATGCTGATAGTGGTTTTAAGCTTGGACACTATAAAGCTGTTGAGAGGTTACTTGCTATTTCACTACCCAATTCGAGGTTAAAGGCTAATCCGCATATTGGATCAATGATGAAAACACTTAATATACAATTCAGTATTGTGTTTGATATGCTCAACTACAGTGGTTTTGGATGGGACGAAATGAAGCGATGTATAACTGTTAAAAAAGCAGTATGGGATGAATATCTAAAGGTATTTAGTTGTTTAAATTTTAATCTAGCATGTTAATTTTATTATATCTAGTATCTTCTTAATTTATGACTATTGATTTTTTAAAACAAATTTAATTGTAGGCCCACAAAAATACTACACAATTCAAGGAGAAAGCTTTTCCACACCTTGATACCTTATCTATTATGTTTGGTAAGGATCTAGCGACAGGAAAGGGAATGGAACACCTATATGATGTTATAGCAGAATTTGATAGGGAGGCTAGCCATGATACTGGTGCTGATGATATACCCGAGTCGCATTCTCAAGAGGTAATACCTGAGAACACGGGTGAAGCTTCCTCCAAGCATAAAAGGAAGAGACGTTATCGTAGGATAGAGAGTCATTCGAGATAAGGAGGGAATCTTTTGCATATATAGGAAGTGAACTTTTTAGGTCGAGCCAATTAATTAAGGATGGGTTAGATGAAATGGCTTTGACCAAGAAGAAAAAGAGGTTTACTGAATACGTAATGAATATGAAGTTACCTATGGAACAATGTTTGACTACGATAGGGGAGATTGGTACTAATCGTGATTTACTGGATTTGTTCTTCACACTCACTGATGATTTGAAGAATATATGGGTGAGGCGATATGCAAGTAGGCAATTTTAAATTGGCAATTTATGCTAGTATATCATTTTGCTATTTCATAACTTATTAATTTAGTTCGTATTATTTTATGGATTTTTTATTATGATATGAGTGATTTTGATAATTTACCAAATGAGTTATTTTATATATCTAGAACTTTGGATTATGGATATCATTCTTTATATTATTTTTGGACCTATGAAAGATGTGGTACTCTTTTATTTATTTTTCTTTAATTTTTTAAGACTAAGAAATAATGAGCATTGTTTAAAAAATATAAACAGAACATACACCTGAGAGATAACATGTGCATTAGTATAACACATAGATAGATTAATATAACCTATGCATAAATGAAATTGTTTAGTTGTTATCGTTAATATTTACTTTTATCTTATTAAAAATCTATCTTTATATAACGACATTATTAGAAAATAAGATTTTATCCTCACTTGTGAATTAATGATACTAAACATGGGAATGAGAGTGCAATTTTTATTCTACTTCATTCTACAAATGCATCCAAACAAGAGAATGAGAACGATCATTCCATTCCCACATACATTCCCTTCCACTCCTTCTTCCATTCTATTTTCATTTGAGTCAATTCTCGCATACTAAACGAGGCGTAACTTAGTGTGGAGCCAAAGAATGACATTGGAATTGCAATGGTCGACTAGAACTAGACTAGTGCAAAATAAAGGCGAGTTTGGTATTATTTTTTAGAGTGTTTCTGTTTATCTTTTCAGAAAGTAATCATTAATAGTGTTTGGTGAATTTGTTTTAGAATGCTTATTAAAACTGCTGCTGCTTTTTAAGCTTCGTGTGGTAGAGGGTTTGAGCAGAGAAAGTAAAGTAAGTGGAGGTACAATGAGATAGAGGAATAGATATCCCTTTAAACCTCTATATTTGGTTGGCATGGAGGAGAGATGTGATATATGATTTTATATATAGTTCATTTTCCCTCTCTTGTGTCGTCTTAATTTGGGGGCATTCTTTTCTTTCTTACTTTTTAGTTTATTTTGTGTTGTCACTACCCTTACTTCCTCTTACTCTATTTCCACCTCAAAAAACTTTCTGCCAAACACAAATCCATTTTTTTGTTCCTTACTCTACCTTACTTCACCTCCTAACAAATCATGCCTTAAATGATGCTTTTAGAAGCAACCTAGGAATCCTTTTAAAAGCGGCTTCTATTTTTTTTAGTTTATATATAATATATATCTTTTATCTTTTAACAATAATTATTAAGCACAATTATACCAAACACCTTACTTGCTTTTTAATCAGTTTTTAAAAGTTGATTACCAAACTTCTATTTTCAACAGCTTATATATAAGTTATTAATATAAGCTACTTTTATAATCACTTATTATAAGCCCTAACAATACCAAACTGGCCGTAAGGCCGACGACAC